CTTCTTAGGTTATGTTTTAGACAGGCGACAGGCCTATAATCTGTGCTCCAGGAAAATCACTGGTGTTGACCCATCCCCTGCAAACTACTGTGATTAACTATTATTTCGCATCATTGTCATGGGCAAAGTGCTGGTAACTGTAAAATATCTGGAAGAATAAGTTTTGCCTTGTCATAAGTAAAATTACCAAGTTTCATTGAGAGAAAAAAAATAACATGACACTACAATAGAATAGATGATTGTATTGTTCATGAAAATGCTTTGGATTAGAAAAAAACAAAAAACAAAAAACTAAACCTAGTCTTAAAAAGATCATTCTGATCTTCTCATTTACTGAGAAAAGTAGGGCAGTCCTAAATGAATTTGCCAAGAACTCTATGATCTGAGTCCCTGATGAAAACTCATTAAAATCAAACTAAAAGACTCTATTATCTCATTTCACCTTATGAATAAACACAATCTGAAAACTATGACCTTTTAAAGGAAGAATTTTTAATGTCACATATATTTTGTAGTACTCTTTTCTTCTTAATATGTTAATTCTACAAAGATCAAAACATGATGATTTAATTTATTTATGAAAAGTCCAAGTAGGATAGCATTAATAGGTAGGTGGAGGCGGGATGAAAGGAGGAGGAGGGAGAAAAGGAAAGGTTGGGACTAAGAATTCTCACCAAGTCCAATGGCTTTAATAAGACAATTGTGTTAAGGTTTGAAATAGTATTCTAGCCAAAAGCCTAAGAAAGATTTCATTTAAATTATATGTAAATACCTTGATCTGAAATGTTCATGATTGCACACCAAGATGATTCAGAACTACAAAACCCAACTTGTTCTGTCCACTACTGAATTAAAAAAAATACCTACCAAAAAATTGACAATAGAATAGATATGCCAAATGGTTATCAAAGGCTCATGCTGACAACTCTTCCTACAGTCTCTGACTGATACTAGAGTAATCTCAAACATGGTCACTGACAGCCCTTAACACATTACCTGCAACATAAGAATGTTTTCTTTATCTAGGAGTCCCTAAGGTACTGCTTAAAATCAAAGAGAAATTACATACTCTTAGAATACTTTAAGATGAAGAGCTCAGATGCCTCTGGACTTTGATGATCATCCTTGAAATCTGGGGATTATATTGATGTTACAGACTCTACCATGTTATAGGCTTTTCTATTCATAGTACTGTAAAGATTCTTTAAAAAGAAGGCACAGATATTTGCTGCTCTCTGATTGTCTCCCTTGAGAGTGAACTAAAAGAGCCATCTTCAGAAATGGACTTGAGGCACATTTTGCAGAGGTATATCTTTTTCAGTCTACTGGTTGCCTACAGATGGCTAAAGCAGGGTATGGAACATGCTGTCATATTTCATTCATAACACACATGTACTGTAGCTCTAGGCAACAGATGGACAATCGCTTGTTTAAACTACAAATGTGAAATACTAAGGTAGAATAGCAATATTTCTAGAAATGTATATGGAAAAAAAGCCTTTCTAAGCCAAGAGGAATGGTGAGAGGCTGTGAGGTTACATCAGTGTTTCCCTGATCTCCCTAGCAGCTGCCATAATTTCCCCAACACCCTTCAAAACTTGATAATGGAGGGATCAGGGGGCAGCCGACACAGATTTGACAAGAAAAGCCCAAACCGTATCAAATAGAAATAACACTGTTATTCCTGGCTGGTTCACATTAATAGGATTTTAACTAACTAGGAAAACTGTTAGAAGTTGTGTTTTCAGAGCTCTGTTTATATTCCATAAACTGTCTATTGTAGCCCCATAGTAAAAGTGTTCTCTTCCTCTAGACCAAAATATGAAACACATTATTTAAATGTAGATGGGATTTTTAACCATAAACATCTTTGCAGAAAATTTCATTGTGACAAACAATGACCAGATTGATAACTCCACTGTAACATTCACCACACACCCAATGAAGCAATTTGACTGGAAAAGTTGTTCCAACAGATACAACAATTGTTAATGACAATAAAAGAACCCACATCATTGAGCTGCACAGCATGTCAATGTCGCCACACCTTATGCTGGGCACAGGACTTATTTTTGACTTCTAAAGATAATTTCTTTCAAAGGTGATTCCATTTTGAGTCAGTATGACCTAGGGAGCCAAACAATCAAAAGATCTGGTTTTGAAGTGATCTGCTGAATCCACGACATAGTGGGTTCCTCCCCCTATGTTTTCCGTGTGTTTCATGTTATAATACCAAATACTGGGCTGGGCTCTTGCCAATTTTAAAACCAGTATGTTTTTAAAAACTTTCTCTTATAGACACTATGATTTATTTCTCTTATTTATGCATTTAACAATGACAATCAAGACATATCAATAGACATCAGGAATATAATTGTTTAGGTAATAGGACTTTATATCTCTGTTATTGGCAAAATTTCATGTCACTAAAACAGTAAAGAGTGACGGCATGTTTTATATCAAATGATTGATAGAAAAGATAATAAAGCAATATAAATCACGTATTTAGGATATCCTGGAATAAAATATTGTAGGATCCTTTCCTTATTATACCTTGTGAGAGAAAAAAATCTAAATCTAAATATTTCTGCATATGTATGTGTGCACATTCATTATTATAAAAGTATAATAAGTCTATATTAAAAAGAGATTTACTTTAAAAATCTTTGGTAAAGATACTCTGAGGTTATGTGATAAAAATGTACTATAAAGATTGTAAGCAAGCAGTGTTCTGGCAATGCCACAGTCATAGGTCTGTGACAACATTTCTTATAACATTTTTTGGCATGTAAACATTCAGTTACATAAGGACTTAAATGTAACAAACAAGTAGAATGTTACTGCAATGTACAGATAAATATTTCATAAAGTCTTCTCTTTTGGCAAAATTTATAATAACATGACTGCATTTCAAGATCAAAAATCCATCTCTCAATAAATTGGGCTCTTTGCTTTTGGCCTAATGGCAGTTTCCCCCAAGTATGTCACCAAAAGATCAGAGCATACACCAAGTGCCTGACAGTCGGTGCTTTTTGAGGTCACTGGTATGGTCTGGCCTCTAACATAGAAGACAGAAATTCAGAGACACAGCTGCCACTCTAGCCTACAAATTCCATGTTGTTCAAAGTGAATGCCACTATATTTCACATTATGAGAAATAAAAGATCAAGAGTAAGAGCTGTGATATAAGGGAGAGGATAGTGGTCAAAGGAAACTTCGAAAAGTGGTAAGTTTGGTGGTTCCCAAACAAAACTGATGACCAAAGCAAGCGAGCCACAATTAATTTAGATGGATTAGAGTGATCACAGACCTAAAACTGCCTTATTAAAAATAAAATTTAACCATTGTTATGATCAATCTTTCTAAAGTAAAATACATTTAGTTGAAATCCTTGAGTCAGGGTTTGCAATTTAAGGCAGGCACAAATAATTTTTCATTTCTATTCTTGGTGTTAAAATTTTAAAAAGTCAGACTAGAAAACTTAATCACTTTATAATCATAAAAAAGAAATGTGCAGAATCAGGCAAGGGAACATAGGAGAAAGTAACTATCTTGTTTATAGTTGATTGCTTGATGTTATGTATATAGGGATTCATTATATTATTATTTATACTTTTGTGTATACTTAAAATACTCCATAATTTAAAAGTATATAGTTGTGGAAGATTTGAAGAAAAGTTTAAGAAAATCTCAATCCAAAATACTTAATTAATGAAATGTCAGCCCACCAGTGCTCAGAGATGTCTCCTTATACAACATGGTAAACCCAAGCAGGTGGGTTCTGCAGTAGGCAAGCAAGCATTTTACTGCCCAATAAGAGTTTGAATAAAGATTCCAGGCAGAGACAGTGCATATTTTTAGCTCAGAAAGGCAATTTTTTTTCAGTGATTGTCTTTTAAAGTGTGGTGTAAATGTCACATCAATGATATGAAAATGTCTCCTGCAATATGTAATTTGAGTTGCAGAAGGATTATGAGAGTAAGGAAACTGTGGTTTCACAATCTTTCAAGCTTTCCTGTCTTTCTTAAGTAAACTAAACAATACTACACAGTTTTATTGTGTATATCTTGAGTGTCCTGATTTGCAATTGTCAGGCAAAACGGGCCTGAGTTTGGGGAATGTGGGAAAAATGTAAGCTCTTTTTTGTAGCTATTTTCTGCTAAAGAGTAATAAAGTTTGGGGAGTTTAGATAATAATTAAAAACAGAAACAAAACAAAACAAATGGCAGTATTTCTGAAATGAATAGTGGGGCAGTATTGGAAATGTTCTAGAGAAAAACTACTTTGTATTATTGAGTACAGGTAGTATAGCAAAAGAAAATATTAAGGATGCATTATGGGATTATAATGATATTTTCAAATATACCCCCAGAATGTTTTGTGAAGTACATCCCAAGAGTAATTTCTTTAGAAAATGATTGAAGTTTGGTTTCTCTCAATGATAACTATTTTCAAAAGAGTCTCATCAACTGGTCACTATAGGTTTTGAGTGTGGATGGTTACAGAATTAAGTTGGGTTTATTTAATCTATACAATTTATATCGTTTTTTTTTCTTCATCTCTACACATAAATTGTGTCTTTCCCCCCAAGGCATATGTCTAGTTAGAACAACAGAAAGCCCAATTGTTCAGTATCCAAAAAGAGAATGGCTATCCTCTGTGGTCAGGCAGCTGGGCAGCAGTGACTGCATTCGCCTTCAAGCCTTAAAGCACCTGTGAATTGGCAGACTCATCCATAAAAAACGGTGTGACAGAAATACCACACGAAAAAAAGTCATTCAACCAGATGAAAAGTGAAACAAATACAGGGATTAAAAGTTACAGGAATGCAGAAGTGAATGGTACGGAACCTAATCTGTGCAAAAATGTGGAAGTCCTTAGAACAAAGACCCATCAAGGTCCTACAAGATGAAATGTGAAGTGTGTATTTGGTAAGCACTTTAAAAATCTCATCATCTATGTGTTTCTAAAGCAATGTTAATAGTAGGTGAAGAAAAAAAACATCCTATGTTTATGATTGCACTGCCTTGCCTCTATTTTCCTATTTCTTTTCTTATCTTTTATGTTCTTCAGCACCACCAACTAGCTAGCTAAACAGATGACTGGATTTAAAGGTCAGTGCAAGCCTTGGCGGTCAGCACCCTGATGCGGGTTGAGTTGCAGGTCTTGCAGAGGATGTGTCCATCCAACGGGTAGCAGCCTTGGTTATCTCCCTCAGACAGGAGACCGCCACAATCCTAGAAAATTAAAGACAAATGCAAACAATGTAAGTGAAAGGTAAAGTACCTACATGAAGGCCAAATGCCTTAGCTTTCTATCATCCCAGGCTTCCAAAGTGTGGCCACTTACTACCTTTCCTACACATAGGCCACTCCAGCCTTCTAATCCTTTCCCCAGTATAACTTGAATTAGAATTTGGGGACAAAAGTACAGAACCCCTCCTAAGTCAGGTCATCAGAAATACAGATATAGGAAGGGAAGACATCAAGGTTTTGACTCTCAGGGAGTAGTTTTGCCAGTTCTCCCACCCAAACAACAGCAAGAACATGAGAAGATAAAACAAGAATAGACTCCAAATTGCCAGTTTATACTTAGCTTTTATCAGTAGTAAGCATCTCTCAAAAGGAATAAAAAATAAAATTTCTCAACCAATCTGGGAAAGGCAAACCTCCAGAGTGACTTCTAGGGCCACTGCTAGGCTCTGTCTGCATATCTCTCCAACTTAATGTGAAAACAAAATCCTAATTTGGAGGGAGTATGGATTTACTGTACTCCTCAAGGAGATGGCATGGCAGAAAGGGACACGCTCTGGCTGAGAGGCAGGCCTCCTGAGCACTGTCCTTAGTCTGACATTGCCTTGCTGTAGGCAAGGTCAATTGTCACTTTGAAGAAATTCCTGCATTTCCTACTCTATGAAGCTGTTGGGAAGATTAAAGAAGTTACTGGATGAAAATACTTTGAAAAAAGTACAAAGAACTATCTAATTGTATAGGATTACAGTATTATTGGTAGCCCCTCTGAAGCATTTTGGAAAGTACTAAGATAGCAGGCACATGTTTCCTCCTTTGTTATGGAGCAAAAATTAAAAAAAAAAAAAAAAAAGGAAAGGAAGAAAATGGAAGTTTATTTCATCTAGTGGTGTGTGTCCTTGTGAAATGGGGCAAATCCAGGGGGTCAGATATGACTCTGCCAGTGATGTCCACACGATGCAGGACATATGGAGAAAACAAAAATGAAAGAACTTATTTACATAGGGGGTGTGAAAAGAGAGAGCTAAGAGAAAAAGGAGAAGAATGATTGGCTACCACATGGACAGACTGAGTCTCTCCTACCCACAGATGACACCAGTCGAACAGACACCAGGGTGCAACCGAAAGTCAGCCCAAAACCAGAGCAAGGCCCTCTGTGTTCCACGTTTTAAGATCAACATGGCAGTTCAACTCCATCCCTAGCTTCCAGCAGCTTCCATTCGGGGAGTCAGATGAGTCTAGAAAACTCCTTTGGGGCTTTGAGCATCACCCACTGTCTCAGAGGTTCCTCTTCACTTGTCCTCTGAGACCTGCTAACTTTAGCGGGAGCACTTTCAAAAGGTCACTATTTCGGCATGTCTCACCTTTGCTGTTTACCATGACAGCAGGGAGGTGGTTGGATTTCAGGTTTGCATTGGGCAAATTACAAGATTTAAGTTCATAGGGGTATTGTCTAGAATGTTGCAATGGCAGCAACAACAGCACTAGTGACACCCCCCAGGAAGGTCACCTTTTCCCCCAAATGAACAGGCAGGTATCTTGAAGTTCTTGAGGCATTTAGGGAACTGGGCAATAAATTAAGCAAAAACTTTTGGATGCAATACAAGGAAGGAAACTTCACAAATGATTGAAATCAGTAACAAGCTGACATTTATAGTTACCCAGGCATTCCAGGGGCCTGTTGACCACAGGGTTGAAACCATCAATGTCTTGAATCTTAAGAGTCCAAAGGAGCCATATGGGGTACCCCATGCAATCTCCTCAATTCAGAGTGGGAGATGAGAAGCAGAGTGGGAGATGAGAAGCAGGGATTTGCCCAATGCTATGCAATGTCTGTGGCAGAACTAGAACAATGGTCTGACTTCAAATTCAGTGTTCTTCCTATTCTATAGTATTACTTCTAAAAGCTAATTTGCAAAGTTTTAAAACAAACTTACTATGTACTATCATTTGGTCTGGTAGGATGTAAAGCATATTTTAAATAACATATATTAGCACAATAAAACAAAAGAATGTGTAAGCCAAAGTATTATAGCAAGTATGTGAGGAAAACTGGGAGCCATTCTTCTCCAAGCCTCAATTTCCCCACCTGTAAAATGATGTCAAAAATATCTGTTTGTTCTTACACATTTATGAGTCAGTATCATTTTCAAGGTGACTGGACATGGCTATTCCTCTTTATCCATAAAACCTTGTGTAAAAGTTGGTTGTTTGCTATTATCTTTCCTTATGCTTATACCTGAGAAAGGTCTGCAACTTGGACTCCAGGACAAAACAAAGCCCAGGGCATAAGACAGGGAGTCATTCACAGGCAAGGCAGTGAGTGAAGGAATTTGGCCCCTGAGGAATGAATACGCCCTGCAGGCCTGCTGCCTGCATCTTAAGGACATCTCTGGTGGGACTGGGTGAGCCAATACCATGAAGACGTGGTGACAGAGACTCATCCTATCCTCCCTGATAGAAGAGGGGGCGGGAAATGGCTTTCAGAGAGGGTCTCTGGCTTATTTCACCTCCATCCTTATAGGAGGTATGTAGGGGAACCAAATAAAATATATGGAAAAATAGTTATAACAAATTAAAAAATAAAAATTAACAGGTAACTGTCAATCAGAGACATTCTGCAGGGGAAGGAAAGGAAAAAAACAGGGGAGGGAAGAGCACATGGGACTATGGTGATGGTGCAGGGTGAGTGGTGGTGGGAATCACTTCCATTGGAAGGATGTAAGCATCCACTGGAATTAATATATTGTAAACTATATTAAAGATGTAAACTGTAACTATATTAAAAAAATTAAAGAAAAAAAAAAAAGAGGGGCTCTGGGTAACATACAGAACCATGATTAAAAAAGGTTTTAAAATCATTTTCTGAACGTCATACCCTTTGGTCCCAAATTACAGAGGACAGACTCGCTGCCCTTGCTGGATTCATGGCTGCCGGTCCTCTGGATCTGAAGCCTCCCTCGGTGCTTCAAGCCTGGCTGTGGGTCTCTCTGAAGCATTCCTGGGATACTGAGCATGTACCTTTGCTTCAATTCTTAGCAGTTATCTGACCCCTTGCCCCAGTGCTTAGTCAGTGCTCACTAAATTAATGAGTCCTCAGGACTGTGAACATGAAGTCCTAATTCTCTGACTGGAATTTTTTCTTATTCCTCTCAATGGGTGACAATGACATCTCTGCCATTGCTCTGGGAGCATCAGAGTGAAAATTAAGATCCAGCATAATGATACTACCACTATTAACCATGTTTCCCATGAATTTAGCATTTAATGCTTTACAAACCTCTTCCACACAGAGTGGTATATTTCAGTCACACAGACATATAGAGGAAGTTAAGAACCTGAGTACTGTTTTATAAGTAGGAAAGCTGAGACTGAGAGAAAGTGACTTACTGATGTCACTAGCATTCAATGCCTGTGTCAGAGTTAAGCCCCAGTCCTGAGAACAAATAGTAGGACCTTTGTCAGAGTTAATAACTGCTACACTTCTGGAAACCCAGTTCCTATTGGCCACACCCTGCCTAGCATACACACCACTGACCTCACACCGGTAGCAGTGAACGTGGAAATCGCGATCCAGAGCCACAATCCGGACAGTCTCCTCCTGGCCAGGAGCTGGCATGATAGGATCCTTGCACACAGAACATCGAGGGGCAAATTTCCTGAAAATGGAGACATATTTCTGCTTAGAGCATAGATACCAACCAAGAAGGAAGGCACAGAAGTAAAATGTCGCCACTGAGTTGCTGGACAACTGCACTCTCCTGTGGCCTTGGGCAGTTCACTTTCCTTCTCTGTGACTGCTTTCCAGCTGTGAAATGAGGTCATTAGACTAATGCTAGATGATGTTAGAGGTGTCGTTAGATCATAAATGCTGTGGTATTTGGGGAAGTGGGGAAGGGAAGATGTGAGTGGTTATGCATGGAGAGCATCAGAGACTACAGACCACGCAGCATGTGGCTTTCACCTATGGAGAAACCCCAGACACAAACCCTGGTTTTGGGCAGAGAGCTGGGAGGCTAGCCAAAGCAGGCAAAACAAGGTTCCAGAAGCCTTGGTTGTGTCTAACTTATCTTCTGTATATGTTCCCCAGGCACTACTCAAACATTCTGAGGTTGGGAACTTTGCCTCATTCCCACTTATTACACTCTCTTTCTCTGAAATGTGTCTTGAATTCTAGGAATTAACAGAAGAAACCTCAAATACCTCTCCTTCAAAATAGCGGAAGTTAGTGGGTTTAAATATTCTTTGTAAGAAACTTAACATGGCCAATTCTGCATTTAATTGTTTTAACACTCACTTGAAAAAGTTAATTAGCTGTCAAGTTCTTCATTTTGCAAAGGATTTTAGTATACTTTCAAAGAATATGTGTATATGAACAACTCTATAAATACACATACGTGGTATGACTTGAGGTTAATTATTAATGAGGAATTTTAAGATTTCCCAATCCTTTAATATTCCTTTCAGTCCTAACATTTTTTTTTCTCATAACAGATTAATAGGATGCACATACATGCCATACATCCATCTGTATGTTCTTCAATTTAGGCGTGGTGTTTGTGAAGGTGTGAAACAAGACACACTTTGAAATGGACATGGATAAACACTGAAAAGTGTAAAAAAATAGAAAAAAAGACTGTGCAACTCAGTTTTTTTATGGTAATGCTTTTAAGATTAATGACGTGAAAATTTATCTATTTGTAGTGAGACTTAAAAAGAAATAATGATAGTAATCTAATACTTTGCAGAGTACTTTATGGTTGTCAAAGCATTTTTACATACATTATACTCTATATGTACATATTAATTTTCCTGGCAGCACCCAAAAGGCATCTGTATGGTTGCAATCTAAATAAATATGAATTAAGCAGCAGATCAATTGATTGCTATGAAAGAAAAATTAAAAGGATCATGGTACAACTGCAGCAGCAATCAAGAGTTGTTATAATTGGTATTTTATGCAAGAAGTTTATACTCAGTGGCAAAAAAATTGCTTTGGCCTACCTGATTATTTTTGAATCTGGGTCACCAATAATGAAATAAGGAGGCTTCTGAAGTCAACTGCAAAATTTCCTTCCCCAAACCCACTGGGTTTATAGTAGCTGAGAGGTCAGAAGTATGTCTTGACTATCTCTTGTATCAATGAACCTTCCCCTAGTTTCCTGAAATAGGATTACTTAACTCCACTGGGGTAGAATCTTTCAATGAGTTTGCTTATTTTAATATTACATATACTGTAATATATAATACATATCCAAAGATACTGTCACATATCTTTGGAGACCACTAAAGTGTGAGTTTCTAAAGAACAGAATTTGTTCCACTATATAGTCTCCAGAAACCCCTGTAGAAATTCATCCAAGATAAACCTAATAAAATGAAGTCTCTAGCCTAGTTATCTATAAAAAGATGTTACTTGGACCATTATGTTCATTTTCAAGGTCTTTCCTCCTTGGAAGGACATAAACTATATTCTTGCTGAGTTATGATTCCTTCCGACCAATTGACTTCATTTTCATGATGGGAAAAAGCAAAATGAAGAGACAGGAAGTCGGTCCCCAGGGCCACAGAGCTTTTTGTCCTGCATCTGGAAGATTGTCCAAAATCCCAGGTGGTCTATTTCAATGCTCAACTCACTGACAAGATAATAGTATTAACAAAAATAAACTTGATAAAAACTCTTTTGATGGCTAGAATAGCTATCATTTATTGAGTGCTTATTATGTGCCAAACCTTGTTAAGTACTCTACACACTTGACCTTACTTTCTACTGACAGAAACATTATGAAAAAATACTGTTATCTTTTCTACTTTACAGTCACAGAAGTCAAGGCTCAGAGAGGGGATGGTATTAATCATATTCTGTCCTGGCACATTTCTGGCAATCAAATGGGTACTGATTAAATAAATATATTAAAGAATATAAGATCTCTGATAGCAAAACAGATGGTGGAATAGTAGAAGTTCAACACACAGAAAAGGTCAGTTCAATCAATCTGCTTTTCTGGGCTCAATGTACTGGCTCTGGAAATACAGATATGAACTAGGACTTCAGTAGTTAGATTGGAGAGGGTGTTTTATATGTTTTTTGTATTTGTTCTATTATATATATATGTCTTACATATTGCAAAAACAGCTCAAACTGGTTACAGGTAAAATTGCATGTATGTGCATATACTCTAATACTAATCAGGTTAGGCTAACTGCTATCTATATTTCATTTGCAAAATTCTATAAAACATACAGGGAATATAAATTGAAACACTGGGCAGGGAGGGGCTGAAATCAGAGCATTGTCTTAGATAAAGTGACAACTGCCATGGGTCTTGAAAATTAACTACATGAAACAGGACAGTGAATGCGTGTGTGTGTGTGTGCATGTGTGACAGAGAGAGTTGGGGGTAAGGGTGGAAAATAGTCAGTTTAACAGGGATCAAGCTTGTCCTATTACTGAAGTGACACATACAAAAGTTTTTATCTATTAAGCTGGAGGATTTGAGCCAAGTTCAACTAAAGGTAACTATGTAGAGGATGACCCATTAGCAAGACTGAAAAATAGCATTTCAGAAGCTTGTTACTCAAAGTACAGTCCAAGACCGCTTGGAACTTTGCCTCAAATGCAGGTAACTAGGTTCTACCCCTTGACCTACTGAATTAGAATCTGTAGTTTAACAAGATCCCGAGGTGACTTATAAGCCCATGAAAGTTTGGGAAGCAGCAGTTTACGAGGCAGGATACTAAGCTGTTGAGATAAATCCCTCCTCATGGGTCCCCCCTATCTCACAGCGACATTCACTCTCAGGCTGCTCTAGGTATAGCCAAGCAATGCAGAGCAGCATATCCTAACTCTGGGCCCTCACTTCTTGCCTGAATAATTCCTTCTGCCAGGAATCTTTTCACTTTCCACTAAAACACCCTTCACACCTTGCTTCCAGTAGCATATCCAGATCCCAGAGTCAACCTATCTCTCCTAATCCTGGCAGGTCAGACTTCTGCCTGGGCCCCTGCCATGACATTTATACCTTTCTGTAAGCATCACGAATTTCCTCACATATCCCTCCCCCTCTGCCTGACAAGCTCCCTGTTGACAGTGGCTTCTCTCTGTATATTTGTGCATTTTTGTTTTCTCCTTTAACACTTAGAGCAGTAAGTGCCACACAGAAGACTCTTTGTTGATGTGGCTTCATTGAGCTGAAATACATTTCCTAAAAGTTCACAAAAGAACACCTAATTAAAAAGGCCAAGAAAAGGCTCCACAAAATCATTAGCAGCGGGAGTCTGAATCCTCCTCTTCTGTATCTACCCTTGCGTTAGCCTTGCAACAACCTCTCTGAGTTGGAATTTTAGTTGTTTTGTGTACTAGGGTTTATAAAAATCAGCAACAGAGTTGGGTGAAATATTCTTATATTTTTCTTTCACTGATGGGGAAAAGATCCAGAAGTTTCTTTCCTATGTACCTGCCAATCATGCAGACAGCATTATTTTTAAAAAATAATCTGTATTTTTAACATGCCATTAAATTCATGGCGAGGGGAGTTGGGGGTTTAAGATTATTTTCCCCTTTTAGTTGCTCAAGTCTGCTTTTCTGGAGCGCTCAGACCCACACACTTATGTCACCAGTTGCAAGTCTCTAATTATGCTCCCCACTCCTGGAAATGAAAGATAAATGGCATAGATATAAACTTGCATTTGTCAGAATTGATTTCCTGTTTTAATTGAGGGGTGTAATATATCAGTCTTTTCCAGCAACAGAAACATGTGTGCTCTGATTATATCTATCCGTCTTTCTTGCATTAGGGTAAGTCTAAGAAAAGAGAGAAACAGTGACAGAAACACTCTCTCCATTGGTATCTTTTCACTTCCCTTAAATAGATGCAGATTTTTTTCATGTGTAATTACAAGCTAAAAATATCAATAACGTGAAGTACAATTTATGCTGTGACTGCCCTTTCAAAAGGAGCCCTTCCTTGTCTTATTCAGGTTGAATATTTCTGCCTCTTGGTTTTTTGTTTTTTGTTTTTTTTAAATTCATCCAGCTCATGTCTTTTGTGAGATTTTCACTTTCTTTGCTACTTGGAAAGTGGTCAGGAAATTCATTTTTAAAATATGAGTCTCAGGTCCATAAATTGCTTGTGGCAAGGAGCTCCTCGTTGTTGACAATCAACAGAGTGGTGGAAATTATCCCACAAGACTTAACATCTGGAGGCCATGAAATGGATACCCAGACTGGTGAGCCACAGGCCTTCATCCCACTGTGAGCTTCAGATCATCTGCAAAGTCACTGCCCCATACACACCAGCCAGGAAACCTTCCTGTCTGCCACTTACAAGTCACATCTAATGCCCCAACTGTAACCCCACTAAGGAACTGGTCAAATAAAAACAAAAACAAATAAAACCACAAAACTGTATAATTTCCTGAAAACCCTGGCTACAATAGAGAAAGAGGGACCTACAAGTGGGAACACTGAAGACCAGGGGACATATGTTTCTAGGTCCATGAGTGTTTGGTCTTGACCCTGAGGGTCTACTTATAATTTTCCTCAAAAGACTGCACAACATACATTAATTAATTTCATTAGAAAATGTCCCAAGGAAAAGAAGACCAGGATAGGGAAGGAAGATAGGAAAGGGTGGGGGGATGTGTTGAGAATGGCATGAAACTGACTCCAAATGTGAGTTCACATTGGTTAGAGGGACTGAATTGTTCTGTACTTGTGTTTAGCAAAGAGGTAGACAAAAGATCTTGAGACAATACTGGGCTGTCACAGTTGGAGCTTTAAGACAGGAACTGATCTAATGGCCAAACTGAAAAGTTCAGAGAAACTGAGGAAACTGTTCAATGTTAGTGATCTTATTGATGTTAGGCCAGGGAGTGCTACCTGGGAATCTTGCCTCTTTCCAACACATATGCTCTGAGGCTAAGTTAGCTCTCTCACAATTGGAACCATACAAGATGAGATGGACATGCTCTGGAAAAGTGTGGAGCAGAGGCCAAGCTGGAGGATCCCAGATCTCCTGTATACTCTTTTATAAGGTCCTACCACATCCTGATTTTCCACAGCTCTGAGAGAGAACCTCAGATGCCAGGCTACAGGAACAAACAGTGAAAGGACTGATGTGCTGGAAGAGGGAGTCAGCTACTTACTTGTGGAAGTCCTCAATGCAGTGGATGAGGCCACCGGCATCCACAGTGAATGGGATCCCATCCAGGCTACGGTGGCACATCACACAAGTAAAGCAGTGAGGATGATAGGCCTTCCCGGTAGCTCGGAGAATTCGCTCCATGATGGGCTTGGTGCACACGCTGCATTGCTCCAGGGTATTCTGGGAGGGAAAGAGAAATGCCACTGTTAGGCTGGGACTGAAGGAACCTCCACTTCTGTGACTTACAGCTTGACAGAACTTTTTCTAAAAAATATTTATTTATTTATTTATACATACAGAACTGTAGTACAAGCCAGAGATGCAGGGGTGGTGAGAGGATTCACCAGAGACAGAGTGGAGAGCAGAACAGGCCGACTGATAAAGTATACTGCTGAGGGAAGCAGTGAGTGGGTCAGGAGAGGTCTGCTGTGCCATGTGGGTCACCTCCGGGGCGGGCAATTGAACTCACATTGAAGTGGCTGTGCTAGCTTGCTGTGTTGCATTCTAACCCATTGTGCCACCAGGGAGGGCCCTTGACAAGAACTTTTAAAGAACACATTGGCCCATAAGCTTTTCATAGGACTCAAAGGATGGCTGAGGATTTGTATTAAAGAAAGAACTAGAGAGAAAATGAGGTGGATAAAGTGACTTTTCTATGATTAGCCAGATGGTAGGTGGCAAATCTACAATTTAGAACCTATCTTCTGACTTACACCCATGTTCCTTTCCACCACAACAGGGGTGGATGGCAATCCACCCTACAGAATAAGTATTTCTGGCTTTGTTTAAACAGCTTAATTTTGTATTGTTGCATGAAGGTAGCTGTAGAAAGTTCATAAGTAAATGAGCATTATTGCTCTAATAAAACTGTATTTACAAAGGCCATGTGGTAGGCTGGGATTGCTCTATAGCTGTGGTGTCTTGATCCCTGAACAACCCAGCCAAGGTTCCCCACTTGAAAAAGAAGTCACCTCACTGTTAAAACTTGATTCACTGTCAAAGAACTACTGGGTTCATCACTGTCACTACTGTCTTAGAGAATGGTCTGTCTGATGACTGACACTCACAGGCATGATCCCCATGAAACCCAGAGTTCAGCAAGTCAACGAGACTTTCAGTCATTGAAATCCTTGATTCTAATACCATTTCCAAGTAACAGGGTTTGAATGCTTGATGGGAATGTACATAGAGGAGGCATGGCTTTAAGAGGCAAATACTGCCAACTTATTTGGCTTTAAAATATGCTAAGTTTTTAAAAATGCACACCCCTCAAAAGGTTTACCATTTATTGATAATTGAAAAAAATTAATTTGTGTTCCTAGAATTCCATTTCTTACTAAACAAACATGTTTCACATGAAATATGCTATATTCCAACTGAGATGTCTGGATACACTGAGTTTACAATCTTGAATTAAGCTGGGATGGGGGTCTCATTAGAAAATGTAGTACTGGAAGAGATGCACGGAATAATGCAGGTAAAAGGTTATTGTCCTCTTACCATTAACACCTTTAAATGTTCATGTGGTAGGTGGCTAGATGGCTTCCTTATTTATGCCTCTTTTGTAGTATTTTCCATCCACAAAATGACGTCCAATTTCCTTTCCAAAACACTTGTGTAACCAAATATCTTTCTTGCTCTCAGCAAATCACATGGATCCACAATGTAAAAAGAGCTAGTTTTTTAACTGATATCTAACCTCCCTCTCCAGCCTTAGGTTCCCCTAATGCGCCAGATTGCTAACTGACTCAAACTTAATGGGAAGTTTCCACTCTTCTGTGCATTGGCTAACACCTAGAATGAATCAGTTTGTTCTTTTAACTTTTCTAGTGTAGTTCAGAAGGCAATTCCTCAGTAAAACCTCCCTTGAAGACTTCATTACTTCACTGTAAATAATATATTGCTTCTTTCTCTTCCCTTCTCAAGTGCTTTTTGTTGCTTATTATTATATAACATTATATATGCATGTGTCTCTTTCCCCTGCTAGACTACAGTGTCTTTATAGGCAAGGCCTATATCTTAAGAATGTATTTCATCTGTCCCAGATGATACCCGATATTCCACCTGGAATAAAAATAAGCCCACTATGAAAGTACGCAAAAAGCATGAATGAAGGAATATTGTTTACATCCCTTTCTGGCAACACAGTGTGGACCCAACTCTCTGGGCTGTGGAATCCATCACTAGATGAACTGGTAAATCTATCACGGGCAACCTGTGGTTGCCAGGTTCTGAAATCACTCAGTAGGCTCCTACTCACAGTTTAAACTCATGGAAACTGTTAACCTATTTTCTTCTCTCCTTTGAAGTGGTAAAATTAAAATAGCAGTAGAACAAAAGATGGAGTCTGGAGATGATGATGGTCTGACAATAAGCATCTTGCCTTCTTTCTTCCCTAGCAATTGGAGCTAGGGTGGCTGGGTCCTATCTTCCCAGGGCTCTAACTTCTCTATGGAATTTTTCTTTCTTTCTTTCTTTTCTTTTCTTTTCTTTTTTTTTTTTTTAAAGCCATCCCTGTAACAGAGTTGAGCAAACCAGAAAAAAAATAAATTGCATTGAGGCTTGGCTGTATGATTTAGCCCATTTACTCAAAATCAGCATCAATATGTAAGATTGTCACTCTCTAAGGACAGATGATACGGTCCATGGAAGAAGAACTGTTTGAAGGACAGGTAATTTGAATATTTCTGCTATCAAGGAAAACAGAGTAATATATGCTGAAAGTGAGACATGTAAAGTGCTCCCAAATCCGAAAATAAAGGTCCCAGGAAAGCAGCTGACTAGAAACAGGCTTGCTGATGGTGGAGGACATATTAACCTCCCCAGCCAGTTTGCTTTCCCTTACACTCATCCCCTTTCAATCTCTAGCTGCACTTTGAAACTTTTCTATTTTGAGATAAAGAATAGAGACTCTCACAAGTGTCAAGCAGAAGGCCCTGATAGTTCCTCTAGTCCCTGCCTCTGATTTCACAGGTGGAAAACAAACCAGGACTGCTGACACTTTCGAATCTGCGTGACAGGGTTCATCAGGGGCAGAGGTAGACCTGGTACCTTAGATGGACCCACTCCCAGTATTTTAGAGAGATACATGATGAATTCATTACGCAGTCATAGAAGGGAGATGAAGATTATGAATTAGCTTCTGGCTTTGTTAACATCCACTGTATGACCTTGGGTGAATAATTTCTTTTATCTACACCTTAGTTTACTCATCTGTCAAACTATGATTAATTCCAACTCAGCAATTTCATTACTCTATGATGTACTGGTATTAACAACAGGGAAAGGTCAATGTTTCCATTACTAGAGATAATAGAAGCAATTGTTGCAAAGGAAGAAGATTGGGGTGTTGGAAACTTGCACTATATAGCCTTCACTATGCATTACCAATTGGAATGCCAGAAAATTTTAATGGTAGAATTTTAAGCACCATAGAAGAAGGTTTTTGTGTTTTCTTATAGAAGGCAGTTTTAAAATTAGACAAAAAGATGCTATCTTTCTCATAAACATGAAGCCTTTCTTAAAAGTAGTTTAAAAGTCAATAGTTAATAACTAAAAGCACATCAGAAAAAGAACTATCTTCTGTGAAATACCTGGAATAATATCATTTTTAAGTGAATCTACTCAAACTGCATCCAAATGTGAAGTGGATGTGCCACGTGTGACAGATGAGGAAGGAAGTGGAAGTAACATGTTCCAATATAAGAACCTTCAAAATTAGTAGTGATTTGTGAGCTATCTACTGCTTGTTCATTCCATTTACTCTACCTTCCCATTGCTACACCGAGCTCTCTGCCACATCTTTAATGAGCTATATTCTTTTACAATTTTAGACAACCTCACGTCCATTTTTTGAGACTTCTTCAAAGTTATGTTCAAATATCACCTCTTCTGTGAGAACTTTCCTAACTCTTCCTTTGTTGTATTCTAGCAAAAAAAAAAAAAAAAAAGCCACTTCTTCCACTCCCATAGGATTGCATCATGCCTCTTTTATGCCACTGAACAGACTTGACTTCACAGTTTATGTCAACCTTTATGAACATACTGTGACCATCTTTCCTTACCCCCAGGGAGCCAGAGTCATAGGAAGCCGGTTCTGAAACAGAAGTGCATGCAGGGAGTTCTTAGAGTGTCCCTGAGATCAACCTCACAGAGGGCTAACTTAGACAAAAGCATTGTCAGTCACATAACAACAAGATAAAAAGCCTGGCTGCTTCTCCTAAAGCTTCCTTGTTTTCTAGATCCTGGTTAATTTAGATCACTGGTCAGTGGGGACTTAACTTATCCCTTTCCTTTTTCCTTCTTTTGTCTTACTGTGTTACTTTACATTATCTCTCTTACGGTTAAAATTCAATAAAGACTATGCCCTTGGACCCTAAACTTCCTCCCTTGGTTTCAATGGAAGAATGACCTCAGTCATGCATGTGCTCTGTGCTGTATTAATTTCTAGGTCTTACAAGTAATAAACTTCTATTTTTTCAGTATCCTACTGGTTATTTCTGAAGGGCACCTTATAGCTACAATGAGAACCATGCCTAGTCCATTTGTAATGGTGTAATGGGGGAAAGTGCGGGGGAATTCACTGGGTCACAAGTGAGTGCCCAGTTATTTCTAGCTGATTGTGTTGTTATCAACAGGCTGAGACTTACCCAATACAAATGGGCTGACAGAGCTGACCTTCCTTGAAGCTAGAGGATAGGGATTGTACACCATTATAGCTGCTAGTCAATGGACACAGACTGTTCCCAAGAAGGGATCTTCAAGATCTATGTGAAGAGGTTCCCTTTTGTTGAGGGTGATTAACAAAGAGAGGCTCAGCTATGAGTTGTCAGTACCAGCAGCACAGCAGCTGGAGGAACAGGAGCCTCAGTGCTGAAGGGAAGCTGGGCAGCAGCTCACCAGAGCATCCACAAGAGTAACTATCTGGGCCCAGGGCTTGGAGAGCGCATGATACAGTAGGTACCTGGAACCAGCTATGAAATACCTTATTGCTTAAGCTAAATGAAGAAAACACACCCACCCCCATTCTTGCTATTGCTTAAAGATTTTAAGAAATTATTGTAGGTATTTATTGCAATGAAGTTATGACAAAAGGAGAAGATATCAGAAGAGTCGGGAAAAAGCAAGGACTTAATCAATTGCTAAAGGACACAACAAACTTTTCCTGAAATATGGCAATA